CCAACACAGTGATTCAAGTCCTTTTTACTCTACCGGTTATGCCTACCCATGAAAAGGGGAGATCTTTCCATGTTCTGATATCCTCTTCACTCTCCTTCGAAGTCCTGTAGTTTTCACTGTAGAGGTTTTTAACTTCTTTAGTTAGGTTAATTCCTATATATTTAATTTTTCCCAGGGCTATTGTGAATGGAATTCTTTTTTCCTCATTTCTTTCTCAGTGAGTCCATTGTTGGTATAAAGGAATGCTACTGATTTTGTCTGTTGACTCTGTATCCTTCTCCACGGTTGAATTTGGTTATTAATTCTAGGAGTCTTTTGGTGGAAATTTTTGGGTCTTCTATGTAGAGGATCATGTCATCTGCACATCTGTAAATAATGATAATTTGACTCTATATGTACCCCTTTTATTTCTCTCTTGTACTAATTACTCTGACTAATGTTTTAAGTACTATGTTAAACAGAAGTAAAGACAGTGGACATCCTTGTCTAATTCCTGATTTTAGAGGAAAAGCTTTCAGTTTTTCGGCACTTAATATGATGTTGGCAGGAGGTTTGTTATAAATAGCTTATATCAGATTAAGATAAAGTCATTCTATACCTATTTTCTTCAGTGTTCATCATAAATGGATGTTGGATTTAGTCAAATGTTTTTTTCTATGCCTATTTAGATGATTATGTGATTTTTGTCCTAGCTTCTGTGTATGTAATCTGTTACACATACTGACTTATGTATGTTGAACTATCCTTGCCTCCCTGGGATGAAGCCTACTTGGTCACTATGTCTGATCTTTTTGATGAGTTATTCTGTTCTGTTTTTCAGTTTCTTGAGGACTTTTAAATCTGTATTTACTAAAGAGATTGGCCAGCAGTTCTTATTTTAGTTGGATCCTTGTCTAGCTTTGGAATTAGAGTAATGTTAGCTTTCACGAATGACTTTTGGTGTACTCCTTCCCTTTCAATTTCATTAAAGAGTTTTGAGAAGTGTTGGCATTAGATCTTCTCCACAGCTTTTGTAGAATTCAGCAGTGAATTCATCCAGACCTGAGCTTTTCTTAGTAGATTTTTTATTACTGCTTGTATTTCATTGCCTATTACTTGACTATTCGAGATTTTATGCCTTCTTAGTTCAGTTTTGGTAATTCATATGTACATGATGTAAATTTTAAATAAATATCTATATAGACAATAATAGAAAAAGGGTTTGCCAAAAGGAATACAGTTACAGGGTAAAAATTCATATTCTTCCCTAAAAAATATGCCTTTTGCTTCTTTTACAGCCATAAACTCAATAAAAATGGAAAATGATGCAATTGAACATTCATGAAAACTGAAGCTAGAGAAGGTCTCTCTCTGTGATAGCCAGAAGAAAAGCCAATCAGAATAACATCGCACGCTTCATATGAATTCCATGTGGAGATCAGGCACACTTCATTCCTCTTGAAAATTCTTCCCCCACTTATGTGTGTGACACAACCAACACCCTGAAAAAAACCACTCTGCCAAGGAAAACAGCTTCTTTTTCACTGGAGATAGAACTCTCACTTCTAGAAAGTGATATGCTTATTATCATGCAGTTTGGGTTATGAGATTTATAACCCATCAGAGGTTTATAAGCAAATGTGTTACAAATTCAGAATGAAGAGGGAGATCTAAGGGAGCAGAGTGGTTCCTTTGGCAAGCACTGAAAGGAGAGGGAGCAGCTAACACAGAAATGCTGGGATTGGTACATGAAAACTGTGTTGTTAGACTAGGAACAAAGCCTTGCACAGAAAGAGGAGGAAATCATTTCTTTTGTAAAACAATTATTTACATGGTAATTCCATCTTCAAGGCTTAATAATGTCCCTGAAAGTAACTCATGCTCTCCAGGGCTTCCTAGATTTAGCTCTCAGGGTCTGACGCCTCTGAGCCTCTGGAGTTGGGATGAGAATTAGAGATTCCAGCAGAAGAGACCTGCGCAAATCAGAAGGTCTCCTAAACTTGTGTTCAGGGACAACACCTATGAGCTAGAGAGTTTCAGTCCTGGCGAGCTACGTCTGGTGTTCCTCACTAAACTGGTGTTCCTCTAAGCAGAGATTCCAAAACTCTACTTTTATATTTTGTGCAACCCTTTCTCCACCTTCTCCAAAATGTGATAACCTGGTTTCACTATGATGTCATATTTACAAATACACTGAAGTCTTCACTACTATTTAATTCAGTCATAGAAACTTCAAGAGGCTCTACCAGATCCTTGATCATCTCAAAATCAAAACAGGAGTGCATGGTCTTCCAGAGGATGTCCCTTGCCTCTAACCTACATGCTTTATTCATTACAAGAATCAGTGCAAGTAGCATTCACAGGCTTAGATAACGAATCCTGCTCGCCTCTCAAAGTGGGAAAATTTTCAAAACTCAAGTGAAGTAATGAGCTATAAATATTCTGGTTCAAGTCAATAAAAGAATTTTTAATGGAGAAAATATAAAAACTCACTTTTACTATATTTTAAAACTAACATTTATCAGTCTAAGAGATACCTATATGACATAAAAACTCATTTTAATTTGTTTCCTTAGAAATCTATTTTACACATCACTTTAAATTTATTACTATTGTTATATTTGGTTATTCTTTTTTTTTTTTTTTTTTTTTTTTTTGTTTGGTTTTTCTCCAGTACCGGGAACCGAACTCACGACCTTGCGCTTGCCAGGCAGGTACTTTGCCGCTGAGCTAAATCCCCAGCCCCTATATTTGGTTATTCTTATTTCAGAATAATGTTTAAAATTACTAGCTACTTTCTGAGCCAGGCACTTGAACAGCATTATGTCATTAAATCCTTATTTAATCCCCTTGAGCCACCCTCTGCATCTGGCAGTGCTGACCTCATTTTATAGAGGGGGAAAGTGTGGCTGAGAGACTAAAGTCCTTCTCCCATGGCCATGCAGCTTGCGAAGGCAGGCCAGAGACTTGCTGAGATCTGCGTTAGTCTTCAGCCTTACGTTCTTTCCGCCTCATCCCACTAAGAGATCCCCTCGAACATTCCTCAGGCCTGACCACTTCTGTAACAAGCCATTAAAAGTTAAATCTAACTCAAGGATTGAGAGTGTCTCAGACAAATGTGGGCTCACCTGCTTTATAAAGACCGTTTAATGCATTATTTCATTGGACCAGGTCCATGATGAAGGGAAGAGGCCGCAAAATTTCTGGCATTTTCAGCTTTAAAAGTGGATTCAAAAATCAATCTCTCAATGTTGAATGACAGAGTAGGGAGGAAACCTTAAGCTGAACAATAATTTCCTGAAACTTCTTGACTTCACTCATATCTGTCCCTCTGGTATTCACTCCGAGTAATCCACGCACTGCCTGCGGGTCACCCCAGCTCACCCTGACTCTGTACTTGCTGTACCTCAGCTCAGCTCTCGGAGAGAGAACTGTAAAAAAAAACATAAAGAAAGAACCCAGAAGGGGCACTGAGCAGGGAAACCCACCAGGCCTTCTCTCCTGGGTTCTGAAGGAAACCGTTACTTTCAATCCATTAGACATTCTGCTTGGATCTCCAATCTCTACACTTCCAGTCATAATCTCAGCATCTATTTTAGAGATGGAAAGGTGGCAGAGGTAAACCCAGGTTTTGTTTTTTGCCCTTGCAGAAACATATATGCACACACACACACACACACACACACACACACATACATATGTAGTGAAGTAAATACTAGGTATTTATAGTTCCACTCTACAATTTGCAAACTCTGCATGAGTATGCATGTGTTTCACAGCTAAGACAAACATTTTCCCCAACACTTTCTCATGGAAGTCTGCATCACTCTAACTCTGTTACATTTTTTTTTTTTTTTTTTTTTTTTAGTTTTTTTCCAGTACCGGGAATCGAACTCATCACCTCATGCTTGCCAGACAGGCACTGTGCCACTGAGCTAAATCCCCAGCCCCTCTGCTACATTTTTATAAGGCAACAAACAAGATTAAAACCTAGAAGAACAGGGACATTTAAAAATGATAAAAAAGAAAAAAATTTAAGCTTAATATGGTTATTATTTTGAGAAGTAAAAGAGTAACACAGGATTAGATAAAAGGAGCTCAAAAAAAATTTTTTTTAAATAAAATGATTTTAAAAAGGATCTCAAAGTCTCCAGAGATCAATTGGGATTACTCAAAAATTTAATAATTATGCATATGTAAAAATAATATTCAAGTGCTCACTCCAGTTATAGTCCAAAGTTTAATTCTGAAAACTATAGGGGCCAGGGATGTAACTCAGCAGCATAGCACCTACCTGGCAAGCAGGAGGCCCTGGGTTTGATTCCCTGTTCCAAAAAAAAAAAAAAGGAGAAAACTACAAACCAGTTCTTTAAAACTGGCAATATTAATACAAGTTAACAGAGCAGGGAACCCTAATAATATTTTATAAATATTCTGCAGCAATAATAATAATAAGCCAATTCAGTGGTGGAGGTTGTTTTCTTATCCTTATTTTATGGGAGAAGAGACTGAGGCTTAGAAAGACTGAATAATTTCAGTACATGGAAAAATGGAAAACTTAAATACTAAAACCAAAATGTCTTAATAACATTGAAATGCTTGAATCTGGCTTAGAAGAGCAACACCATTAGAGACAATCACCTTCTAAGGATGGGCAAGAAACCTGGCAACAAATAATGTAAAAAAATTAGCAAAATTAGCAATGTAAAAAAATTAAGAGAACTAAGAATGTGCGAGAGAAAGAACAAAATGCGTTCATTCCTGAGATAGAGAAACAGCAAAGGAACTCATTAGAAGAGCCTGAACATTACAGTGAGTAGAAATCCCACCAAAGGTTTTCCTTAATCCTTTTTTTGGAAGTTGTATTTCTGAACTAAAAATTTTCTACATTATTCTTTATTGTCCATATATTTCATGATATTACATAAAGCAGATCATGTGGTATTTGGAAGAAGTATGTATGCAAACCATAACTTTCCAGTCACAGTAATAATAGAAAAGACGATAGCTCTGGCCCATACCTTGGTCTTCATAAACTTGGAGTGACTTTTGTAAACCTCTATTTGTTTGATCTCTTCTTCACGGTCCTCAGTGTTCAGCACACCATTGGCTTTTAACATCTGGATCTCATCCTCAAGATCCCTTATGTTTCGCTCCAGTGAAGCAATTTTTGTGTCCTTTTGGAAAAAAGGGAAAGAAAAGGAAAGAACATTGTTTTATCAACAATGCCTAAACAGAATTTAAGAATCTGATTTTGGTAGTGATACATTAACTATGTTGTAGACATAGCCCTGAATTCAGAACACTTTACTTTTTCTAGTTGTGATGATCATCACTGAAATGACTGCGTTCCCAATCATGTATTATGGGAATTATTATCGGTAGTATGTGTCAACATAATACCGAGAATTACATAGAGGTATTTCACGAACATGCAGGCGTCAAATTACCAAAGCAACAGTCCCAAAAGAAATCTAAAGTGTCAAAAACAAAACATGGAAAACATCTGCAATTTAGGATATAGTTAAGCGTGGTATTTTTTGTGTCTGCTCATAAACATAAAAATTGTTCACTCACTCTGTATGTCCTGTGGCTGGTTTTATAAGACATGCTTGGAATCTGACTCTAAGGGAGATTCAAACCTGCTAGTAGGGAAAAGGATTCTCATCTAAAATACAGACATAAGTGAAATTCAATTACTGAATATTGACTTAGTATGACTGATACGCTAAATATTGAAAATTTATAGCAACTGGAAATAATATATCACAACAACACAATTTACTTGGCAAGAAGTCAAGTCCCTACATGACAAAAAACATGACTACCTCGCAAGGCATTTCTAACCTATTGATTTACAGATCCAGAAACCTAGAAATATTACATTCAGATGTGGGATTGAGAAAAAACAACCAATGACAGACTATACACAAGAGAGCACATAATAAGAGACGATGCAGTAGAAAGCAGAAAAGACAGAGCTGTTGTGGGAGAATCAAATACACACACACACACACACACACACACACACACACACACACACACTTCCTCAACTTCAAAAATTAAACTCAAATCAGTCTTGGAATGAAACACACCAAGGTTTGACTTTAAGTTTTCTCATCATCACCATTTACCTGCTTTATTGCAAATATTTAAGGTGCTTGCATTAAATTTGTCATTGAATGTCAGTGAAAGCAAGCCACTAATTCTTTTCCTTAAACTAAATGCCTTATTTTACCATAAACTGAAAGATGAAGAATTCCAAAAGTAAACACCATGAATGGCCTACTCTATTTACAACTAACGCATTTAAAAAAACACTTACAACAAATATGATTGTTCGGTCTCTCCAGCTATTATGTGGTTTACTTTTTCTATTTTATGTAGCATATCTAATGTAGTACTATAACAAAATTATTATTATTATAAACACTGTCATCATATTAAAAGGAAGAAAAAGAAGAAGAGTGACAACTGCTTTTTGGTCTCTCACACTCTAAGCAAAGTGGACACTTTCATTAATTCTCAGAAAAATCCCATGAAGGTAATGAAAATATTTTGAAATTTTCAAAATTATGAAATTCTATAATCTAGTTTCATTTTCCCTTAAAAATAACATATATTGGATTTTTCCACTTACAAAAAATATATATTTTAAATTCATAGAAAAGAGAGAAAATCTCTAAGCCTACTATCTGGAGATAACTTCCGTTTGTACCTTTTATATAGTCTGTCAGTATTTTTCAATTTTAGATGCAATTTCTGAAAATCTTACGCACTACCAGTTTGGGTGAAAGGAGTATTGTAGATTGAAAGCTTAACCCCCACCTCCAATTTATATGCTGAAGCTCCCACTGCCAATGTAATAGTGTTTAGAGATGAGGCGTGCTCATTGCAAAAACACGAGAGGTAATAAGAGTTAGATGAGTTCACGAGGATGGAGTCCCCATGTAACATTAGCACCCTTGTAAGAAGAGACACAAGACAGTGCATGTGTTTTCTACCCACTTTCCTTTCCCCCTCTCCACATAAGTATACCGCAAAAAAGAAGCCATCTACAAGTCAGTCAGGGAGCCCGGACATCACAACCCAGTCATGCTGACATCCTGATCTCAGGCTCCCAAGCTTCACAACTGCAAGAAAGCAAGTTTACATTGCTTATGCTCCCCAGTCTGTAATACTCAGTTAAGGCAGCTCTAGCTGACAAACACAGGAAGTCATACGGAGTTATTCATTTGCGTTCTGAGATAAGAGAAGCTCACAATTTTCAAAAAAGGATTCATGATTAAAAAGTGATAGGAAAAGAACTTCAAAAGTTTGTAAAATTCTTCCCAAATATGTGACAATCATTTCAAATCAATATTTTTTTCTGATTATAAAGTTGAGACATGCTCATTGTAAAAACCTGAAAAGCCATATAGGTAATTATGATTACCTACAGCCCCATCACAGAGATATATCCACTATTAACATTTTTACTTACTCTCGTGAAAGTCTTACGATTATATTATCACCCTAAAGCATATTAAATGGTATCTATTAAAACTCTAATCAATATGATATAGACTCTCTATATTGAAATATAAACTGGCAATTGATGAGATTTATAAATATATAAGCATAGTCATTAAGAGGTTATATAAGTACAATCTTTACAAAAGTTTAGGTATAAATGTAAGGGTCAATACTCTTGCTTTTTTTCCTATATAAAATGTCCGGGAATTTCAGTCAGAAGTGACCATATTTATGTTTGTATGTACAAACATATATAAACATGTGTGTGCACAGTAATACTCTTTATAGCTCTCACATCTTAGACCTTTTATTTTTATCGCCTTGGTAGAATCTCAGGTTTCAATCGTTTAGGCAAGTGGAGAAGAACCTGCTTTCTCACAAACCCTGTTTCACTCTCGGTCAGCTTTCAGTAAGTAAGCCACAGGGGTTAGAAGAAACTTTCCACTGGATGGTAAAGATTATACACTGCTAAGAAAAGATTATATAGGATGATTCTTAATCGACTAAAGCATATGTTAATAGATATAAATATAGATATATAGATATAGGTATAGATATAGATATAGATATAGATATCAGGGCTAAAAGTTCTCCACAGGTTAAGAACTATGAAAATGTTTTTTACTACTTTTAAAACTAACCAATGCTTTTCTTTGTGATCACAAACTTTTTCCTTTTAGCCACAAAGGAAAAAGAAAATGAAAGTACATTCCATTGTGACAACCATCTTCATAAAGATCTATTTACTCTGTTCTTACTTACATTTTTGTTCTTACATAAGAAGTGATCTATAGGGGCTGGGGATTTAGCTCAGTGGCACGGCGCCTGCCTGGCAAACACAAGGTTATGAGTTCTATTCCCGGTACTGGGGAAAAAACAAACAAACAACAACAAAAAAAAAAACCAAAGAAGTGAACTACAAGTGCAACACAATTCATTCCCCAAATCATGAATACAGAGGAAAAAAAAAAAAAAACAATAGGAGAACACAAATAAAATCCACAATGCAGAAAAAATATAAAATACACAGCTAGATTAGATGGCTTTGGGGTATGCCCAAAATGATATTCAAAACTTCAAGCCAGAAAAAGACTAAAAAAATGTAAGCCTGAAAATCAAAGGCAAAGAAAATAGCTCCCATGTTCACCTTTTCTTCAACTGCCTCGCCTCTGGGAACTCAGAATGATATCTTCTCTCTACTAAAAAAAAAAAAGCTCTAAAACTAAGATAAATGACTAAAAATTTACACATTTCAAGAAGACTATGGAAGCTCTGATCTGCTGAAAATGAGATATGGATGCCTCTTCCAGAATAGACAGCAAATGTACATGATCAATCATTCTTAGCTCTGATCTAGAATACAGAGCAGAAAATTTAAAATATATATTGAAAACATCCTGAGTAGTTTCAGAAGACAGAGTCACATGTTACTCTCCAATCTCCAAAGTTTACTTCATCTGAAACCTTTATACGTTCTTGATATTTTAAACCAGTTCCTATTGCTGTCTTGAAACATATCTTAATGATTTCACAAACAAATAAGCTCTGAAGCAGATAACTGTAGGCTTTCTTTAGAGACAGTAAAGTAACATGAAATGAAGGATATAACTTTTCCCAAAATCCACAGGTTTCAAATGCTCCACGGGAAAGAGCTATTTTTGCAGGGTCAATTATGAGGTGCAAACATACCCTGCAGTGAACATTAAAATTAAAAAAAAAACTATTATTTGTCTATTTGTTACTATTATTTGTCTATTTGTTTACTATTATTTGTCTATTTGTTTACTATTATTTGTCTATTTGTTTTCCTGAGAAACTATTTTGTAGATAATAATACGTAAAAGGATAACCATTGATAATTTCCTACCATTTTGTCTGTAATTTGCTAAGTCCCCCCTATTATTATGTTATCCTTCTTTTACTCTTTAAAATAAAAAAAAAAATCAAATTGAAACACACATTGCTGTTAACTACCCTCAAAATACTCCCTTTTGTTTCAAAACATTTATTGTATTGTTCTTGCCATTTTCTGAAGCAGTTCTGGAGGTCCTTCTTCATGTCTTTAGTTGTGTTGGAATGGCTGCCTCAATATCCTGAGTCAAATCAAAATGCTTACTTTTCATGGTCATTTTGACTTTGGATAAGAACCGAAAATCACACAAGGCCAGGCCTGGTGAATAAAGTGGATGAGGACACATTGTTTTATCTGATAGATATTGCTATAGCAAAAGTAATGTGTGATACCAAGCATTTCATGATGGAAGATGAAACCATTTTCCAGGCCACTTTCTATACACATCATTTCTTAAATGGCCCTTATACCAGTGAGAGTTCACTACGATATTGTTGGGTACAAACTCGGCTTGCACCGTTCCATCAAAGCAATCAACACCACCATGATACTGTATCTTATTCATGCACTTCCCTCTTACATGAGGAAAGCTGAGTGATTTCCATTAAGGACTTTGAACCTTGGTCTCAGAATCATAACCACAGACCCAAGGTTATCTTCCAGGATGACATTTCTTAAAAATCTGGAATCTGAAGTAGAACAATCACACAATTTCATTGAATTTGATAGAATTTCATGTTAACATGATCTTCATGATCCATGTTTTACGGTACACTTTAAAAAACTTTCTGTCCACCATATCACACAACC